AATTTTAAAAAAAAACTGTACCTGGTTTAGACGTAAAAAAAAAAAAATTTAGACACGCTTTTTAAAATGCGGATGTGATGAAATCAAATAATCCCTCCGTGGATATATACATCCACGGAGGGAAGTCCCGTTCCCTCAGCTGGTCCACAGACTGAGCTGACCTGAGGTCAGTCTGCCTCCAGCAGGGGCAGCTTGAAGGAAACGTTACATCAGGTCTTTAAACGGAGGCGGTGTCACTGAAAAATGCTCTGGCTGCCGAGGTTTCCCAGTAGGGTTGTTACATTTCAACTGTAGCAGAGAGTACAACCTGGAATGGCAAAAACAGACAATAAAAACTACATTTGCTTGAACTGGCCGAGCAGCAAGTGAAGAGTTTTTGGTGCTGAAAAGTCAAGACAGCGTGGAAACCTGCGAGTGGGACCTCGGCCGACAGAGTCCACTGTGGTCCCACTGTGGTCCCACCGAGGTCCCACTGTGGTCTGCTGAAGGGTCCACACTGTGTGAGGACATCTTGGACTGACATTGAAGTCAGGATTAGAAATGGATTAAGGATTAGGATTAGGATTATATCTGTAAAATGGTTGATACAAAGGCCAGTTTATAGCTATACTTGTGAGGACATCCTTTGAGGAAGGTTCTGTGATTGGGGGGGGGATGGGGGCTCAGAAGTGGAGCTGGGTCTGTATTTGGATATTGGAGGATTTACAAAACACACCAAACACTGTGTTTGGTCTATAGTGTAGTAAACAGCTGTTTATGTCTATACAGTACGACAAAATATCACTGCATTAACCCCAGGGAAATGTGAGGAATATAAACCGACTCCTGGAGAGAAGCAGTGATCGGAATACTAAGGAAATTCACCGAGACGTAACTGAAGGATTTGAACGACGTGGAAATCACTCGACACTAAGCTGAACTAGCAGACTGGAGAGGACTGACTACCGCGGGCTGCCTGTTACTCTTTTGCTGATGTGGTGGTAAAATGAACCCATCAGCCCCTGCACCTCTGATGTCTTCTAACGACCCGTTGGACGGGGTAAAAAGCCTCGGTAACTTCAGCCACAGATGCAGCAGCCAGCTCTGTTGGCAGCTCCGTTGTCTTTTAATTAACTGCTACACATTCACTGCAACATATTTTTGAAACCAACTCAAGTGAACGAATACAAAACCAAACACAGCGAGGAAGAAAAACAGTATTTCCTTCAGTTCAAACTGTTCTGCTTTTTATTGTCTTGACCCTCTGCTGGGCTAACGCTAGAACTCCAGTCAACAAATCAAAGGATGGTTGTATTTCCAAAGATGGTCCAGCAGCTCCCGTTTGTCCAAGGCTTTTTATGTTGGAAAACCACTGGATCCCACATGAACCATCTCCCACCTGTCTGTCCGTCTCAGCCTAATCGATGTACTTCAGTAACTGATTTTTGAACTGATTTTACTCCCTGACACAATGTCAGGTGTCGCCTTTTGTGAGGTTTCATTTTTCATTTATAACCACACTCTGTATACTGCAGACATCACCTACAGCTCCCCCTACTGTCACCTGCAGACGTTCTCTGATGACTCTGCGATCGTTGGACTGAGGATGATGATGACAGTACAGAGGTCAGATACAGGTCAGATACAGGACTCGGACCCTCTTGCTGTAAGGCACTCTGACCACTGCTCCACTGACTGACAATCTTCTATCTTTAATTTACTTCTTATTATTTATCTTGCGTGTCATAAAAGTAGTTTTTGCTCTGTTGAAAACTGAAGTTGAAACGTGGAGTGGGAGAGAGCAGTAAACAGCCTCACCACCCACTCCTCTCCCCCCCCACTGCCGAGGCCCTCCGTGACAAACACACAGTGAACTTGTGTGTTTGTCAGTGGCCCAGTTAACCACAGACTGTCAGGACACCTCTCTGCTCTGACCTCCTCCTCCTCCTCCTCCTCCTCCTGCCCTGTGAAAAGGACCTGAGTGGCGCTCTGGCAGCTCGTCTGTAACATCAACAGCTGCTGAATCTCTTCATTTAGAACGGCCCTGCTCCTGAGTCATGGTGTGCTGCCGACGCCGGCTTCCGCCAACTCCGGACCACGGGGAATTAATCAGGCAACCTTTGGAGTGTGTGTTCGGAGATGGTGGCCGGCCAGGGGCCCAGTGTGTACAGTAAGAGGAGGCGCATGTCCTAGAGAGTCCCCTGAGAGACAGGTTCTATCACAGTGTTTTCACACTCGGTTCCTGTGGGGACTTGGTTCCGTTCCGTTGAGCGGGGAACGTTGAAAGGTTCTCGATGGACCGATATGTGGTGTTGTTCATGGTCTGTACAGGAGCTGTCGTTCCAGCCAACAAGTCACTTGTTGTCTTTAAAGTAGAGGGTCTACATGTGATGATCCATTCCAGCCAACAAGTCACATGTTGTCTTTAAAGTAGAGGGTCTACATGGTAGTCTGTATTTAAAATGAGGGGCGGGGACTGGCTGTGGTCCGTGTTTGTTTACTCAGCAGAAATCTGCGCAAAAATGATTTTCTTCATAAACAGAGAGACTATGGCAGTAGAACCAGACTGGGGTTCTGCCATGACTGCAGGTTGGGTAGCTGAAGCCAAGTGACACTTCACCACCTTTTTATAAAAAAAATAAAAATGTTAACTTACCGAGGGATTGAAAAAAGTCTAATGATAAAAGTCAATATTTCTGGGAACCAGTAAAAACAACAGCGAGGAGCTGAAGCTCTGGAACTACTGAGTGTGTACCTTTCTGGTGGAGAGTGTGGACGGGCAGCAGTCTCCCCCGTCGTACTGGCAGTACGCCCGGTTGTTGGTGGTGTCACACCAGCCGTCCCCTCCGAAGGGCTGAGCACAGGGTAACAGACAAGAATAACTGTTTATAAAATGAGTCATACTGCTGTAAACAAAAATAATCCAACCGCACAGAGCATGAAAAGCCAGGAAGCACAAACAAAAGAAAAAAACACCAGACATAATCTACGGTGATGGAGAGCAGCTGAATGTTCTGTACATGTTAGCTCAGCATCAGTAAACACTTTTTATTATCCACAATCAAGTCCGTATTCATGTGATTAGCTTCGTTATGGTTTTGCCCACACACTGAGGAAGTTCACTTCAAAAAGATTTGGAAAATATTGACAAATTGAGGGGAAAAAGAAATCTCAAATGACCAGAATAAAGTTGTATGTTTATGAGAATAGTCATAAATTCATTAAAGAAAAAAAAAAGGCCATAATATTACGGGAAAAAGGTCTTAGGTTTATGGGAATAAAGCAGTAATATGAAGAGAAAAGAGAAGTAATATTCAAGATAACAATAATAATGACAACCGTCCAATGACGCTGGAGACGCAGCGTTCCTCCAAGTCTGTGCTGGAGTTTGATGCTCGTTCAGTTCTGTTCATCATTTGTGAACGTTTAACTGAATGTGATCGTCTACAACAGTATCAGTTATGTTAGCATCAATGCTAAAGTGATGCTAAAGGCCTGTAGTTCCTGTCTAACACCTTCAAGCTGTTCAAGTCTTAATGATTCGACCGACAGAAGAAACTGTAAAAAACTACAACAATGGCCGTCCGTGGCTGTTCTTATACTTTCTACTTTTAATTGGATGTGAAACGATGACATCATCTCATTTTCAAAAATGACATTTTTCAGTTTTTATTGCATTTTTTGAACGCGCACCAACCGTCCGTCTGTGTGACGACGGTGACAGTTTTTCGAGGTTGTTCTGAGCGTTTGTGGAAGGTTTTACTGGAGTACACGGGGAGAGGCAGGAAAATATTCTGAATTCTAGTCAGAATCATCTCACTGTGAAAGCCCTGTTATTATTTCCCAATAAATCTTGAGGGCTCTCCCGTGAGTGCCAACAGAATGCAAACAAATGATGGACGCCAAAGATACTTTTGGCGTGCGACGCTGGGCCGATGGAGTCGTTTCAAAGACGTGAGGTTCGAACCCAAAGTGCACAATGGGAGACAACAGCTGCTCAGAAGATTTCTATTCAGTTCAAAGAAATCGGACTTGATGAATCTGCTGCCTCCTCCAACCAAACTGCCCCGGTGTAAATAAATCTATTTAATTGTTCTGTTTTCTAGCAAAGACTTTCACGGTTATTTTTTACCTCAGGCTTTGCCCAAAAGTATTAAACTAAAGTGAAACTAAAGTTAAATTTGTTTGAACTTCTTTGAAGATCTTGCAAAATTCAAAAACCACAGCCGTTTCCTTGAAGTACTTTGTCTAAAAGTGTTTTTGCGAAGCAGCCAGTACTGTAAGTATTTCCCTTTTTTCCAGCTTTCTAGCACGAACTTAAATCAACAAAATCATCGTCTTATGAAAAACTCATCTTGGTCATCTTCATGTGTCGGTCATCTTCATGTGTCGGTCATCTTCGTGTGTCGCTCTCCTGTCACTCCATCCACCCGTACAGCAGCAGTACTACATCTGAGCCCTGGCGGCCTCTGCTGTTATCTCACCAGCTGAGATAAAAATGTTGGCCGAGCTCCACAAACTTTCTTTGGTTTCACCAAAGATATAATTCACACGGCGGCGAAACACAACAAAAAAAAAAGGACGATCGTCGGGAACAACCAAGGTGCCTCAAGTAACATCGACAAGTGTCGAGAGAGAGAGAGAGTTCGTCCTGCAAACAGCAGAACGTGAACTTTTAAACTGGACGTTTCCATACATCATGGATGAAGGGAAGAAAAAAAAACACATGTTGAAAGAAGAAGTTCAGACAAAAGCTGTGAATTTGTCCCAGATGCTGCGTACTGAATATCTTGTCAGATTCGTTCCAGGGACTTCCAGTTGGAAATGGAAGATGTGAGGTCAGACCTGTGTGATGATATTTTCTAAACATGCAAAGACAACATTCAACAGGAAAATTGAAAAATGCGGTCGGGCTAATGTGAATTAGACTTCGTAGACTGTTGCCACCACAGAGTGGACCTGGATCCAGATGGTGGAACTGGTTGGAGCAGCTCAGAACAGAAAATAAACTTTATAAATCTAAAAAAAAAAAAGAAGTCCAGAAATATCTTTAGAAAGGTCACGGTGACCTTGACCTTTGAATGTGCTGCCCTCCTGTGTTTCGCTGGATAGTTTTTCTCCGCAGAAATGATTCCTTGGCATTTCAGGGATGTGTGTTTGGGTCAAGATTAAGATTAATACTGGGATTTATTAGGATCAGGTCATGGTGTCCTGGAGTCAGTGTGTGTGTGTGTGTGTGTGTGTCTGCTCCTTGTCTTCCCAACGAATTGAGTCGAATTTATTTTCACATTTAAGATTTAATTCAGATTAGAATCAGGATCAGAGAATTGACCTTTAATTAATGCAGATTAAAGGGTGAGGACGTCCGATGTGGCAACAAAACAGTACTGTGTGTGTGTGTCTGTGTGTGTGTGTGTGTGTGAGTACGGCGGAGACACAGAGAGCCTCGGCCCGACTGGTTTTCATCATCATATTTCTGATTTGCCTTCAACACAGAAGAACTGCATCTGTTTCGAAATCAAATGGAAGGGGGCGCTGTGAGCAGTCCAGATACTTCACCAATCCAATAACCAGAGGTGGTGACAGACAAAACAGAGAGTTTGACCCAAAGATTAACTTGTAAAATATGTGTGACTACTGGGCTCCTGTCAGACAGACTCTGTCTTCATTTTTTGATTTTTTCTCCTGGTTCTCAGTAGGAATCTGATTGTGAGGTCTCCCTTTGTCTCCCTCCGGTGTGTGGAGAGGACAGGCGTCGTCACTCTCACCTGTGTCTCTGTCGTCAGTGTCACCTGGTGCCCTGGGTATTTAACCTCTGTCTGTCTGTCGTCCCTGTGAATCCAGTAAGTGTCTGCATCTTACCTTATGTCGTTTTTTTTTAAGTAAAGGTGGTCAATGCTGCTTCCTCTGGTGAATAATTACAATTAATGTCTCATATCAATAACACATGAGTCAATGTATTTCTATGACCAGCCCCAACTCATTAAACTGTTGTTCATTTTGACCCGATCCCTAACCCTAATCCTAGAAACTGGTCTGTCAGGAAGAGACTTGTTTTGTGTTTTAATGCTTTAAAAAAAAGAAAAGAAAAAAACTCTTTTAGGATGAAAGGTACTCAAGGTGGGGTGAGGAAAGGAATGAGAAAACAGGAGAGAGAGAGAGAGAGAGAAGCAGCGACGCTCCCTGGATGAGATCTGGCACAGCTCACCTGAAGCACATGTGGTCTGCTGTAATTTACAGTGTTGTCATGCAGGAGTGGGTTATGAGCAATTCTTTTGCTTAGCAACATTCACGGGAACGTGGAAGGGGAAAGTGTAGTGCTGGCAGGGAGCAGGAATATTTTTATACGGTGAGGCATCAGCGGCTCATGAGTTCCTGCAGGAGTTTCAGTCTGAACCCAGTGGATGAAGGCCAATTAGACTGGAGCTGAGTGTGATGGGTGTGTGATGTTAGATAACCTGCTGATGATGTGACGAAGACGAGCTGATTTACAGACTACAGATTAAAGGACTGGTCATTAATGATTAAATCTGATGTTTATGATCCACCAGTCACCACCTCATCTCTGGTCGTCAATGTCCTGGCAAATCATTTAAATCTAAACTTTGTAATGATACCCTGAACCTGAACAGACCCCTTTTCCGTGTATTTCTTTTTTTTAAAGATGAAATTGAGGTCAGATCCAGTCGTGGCTGTATGTTGGCCATGTGTGCTTTAAAGGGAACTCGAAAAACAAGGTTGTATTTTTCAGGGAAGATAAATGGCTGGACGGCTGTCTTTACTTTTACAACCAATCCTATAATAAAGGTGTCACGCACATGATCTAGTCTGCAAATGTCATTCAGGACTCAGAGTCCCCCGCTCCCACCTTTAGCTTTTAGCTTATTGGATGTAAAACACTGAAAGGGTTTGTGCAAAATATGTGACAGATTTGAATCAAATTGACCTGACGGTTATGATTATGACGTGCCTGACCTGATCACCTGATCACTGACTAATGTTGCTGTACTGATTCCTACCTCACATGATGGGATGCAGTGGATGAGCTGAGGATCAGGAAACCACTTCATCCTCCCCGTACAGACGATGCTCTGAAAATCAAAACACGAAGGAAAAAATGGTTTCACACAAAGAACTCTGCTTGAAATTTAACATTGGATCCAGAACTCCACATTATATTGACTGTTTAATCTAACTTGAGTCCAAGCCCTAACCACCAAAACCCCCTCCTTTTTGAAATTCAGGACCAATAAGCCTTATTTATGTCACTGACAAAAAGTAAACGTTTCAAATGGAGTCAAGAATGACTTTAAGGAAAGCACAAAGGTTTCAATTAGAACTTAAAGAAATAAAATAAAGTCTGTGTTGTTCTATATTTCTGAAAAAAGTATTTAGAGAGATATAATGATGAAGTGAGTGAGACCTGATTCAGACTGATCTGAGATAAGATCCTCCTTCATTATGGCACACAGAACCAAAAACCCATTCAACTATTTGACTTTGGAAACAGTGGCTCGGTCAGCTGGGTGGCAAACGCCTCACTGGGCTGACGTGGCGTGGACGGAGGAACTGTTCCAGAAATGTGATGTTGAGTAACATGACCCACCTCTAAGGCAACAACTGAACACATCACCTGACGAGCCGACCGCTCAGATTTTAGAAGTACAAAAATAGAAGACGGTGTTGTTGCCAAAGGTTAAATCAAAAAGTGTGAAATATTTCAGCATGTTCAAAGAAAGCTCTTTTATCCCTTGAAGTTTACGCTGTTCTTCATCAGTCAAATATATGACATGAATATATCATATAAATATGTGAAATAATCACGCCTTATTACAGTCTCCTGTGAAACAGTGCAGAAACAGTTCCAGGAACTCATCTCTATGAAAACCTGTAAACTCTGTTCCTCAGTGAAAATAGAAAAATAAATCACGGGACAGGACGAGAAAATGACTCGACATGCGTTCCCACCTGAACTTTGACGGGCAGCATCCAGTGCCGTAACGTGTCTGATGTCGTACCGTTGGCAAGAGCCACGGGGTCGTGCAGGTCCATGTCCAGGGCCACAACACATGATGGGTAGCAGGCAGCACCTGGAAGAGGAACAACCTTCTGACTCAACCTGGTTCACCTCTCATCCCCCCCTCCACCCCAAAAAAGAACCCAAGGTTCTGTATTTTCTGGGCGTCCTCACCGACGTCCAGTCCCTGCTGACAGGTGTACTCCACAGAGTTCAGATTCTGAGGGGGGGGGCAGGAGCCCTGGAGGTTGCGGCACATGCTGAACTCCGCTGTCCAGCCCCCGTCCTTCGTGCAGCAAATTTTCTTCTGGAAAAAAATATGTAGATCATGAAGAACGGAATTTCTTAAAATGATGGAGAAAATGAACAGAGTGATTATAAAATGATTATATTTTACATTTATATGAGGACAAACTGAACGGTAACTTCAGAAAACCCCTGCTGACTTCTTACATTTTCTGTTTGGGATGATTATATTTTACATTTATACGAGGACAAACTGCTGACTTCTTACATTTTCTGTTTGGTCCAGACACTGCAGGGTGCAGCAGCTGTCGTAGTACAGACCGTCGGTGCAGGTGTACATGCCCTGGAAAACAACAGGCAGCGCCGGGCAGGATATGGGTTCACAGCCCGTCTCCTCCCACTGACCCTCCCGCAGGCACTCCAACTTGAAGTACTTCCTACAGACACAGGAGTCCATGAAAACTGGTGAGTCTCTCTGCTCGTTTTTTGACGAATTATTTTTTCCAATCCTCGGCCTCTTCGATGGCCGACGAGTTGAAGTTACAAATGTGAAAATCTGTGTCTTGGTAACAAACAGTGAAGGTTGTTCTGTTTGTCTGTTAGTTTTTAGACTTTATTGTATTGTGAGAAAACCTTAATTTCTGAACCCTGGTGCAGCGCTGACCACCCCACACTCACCTGGGGGTCTTCCTGGTTAAGCTCCCTGTGACGTAGAAACCTGGGTTACATTTGAAACGGCAGAAAGACCCGATGTCATGACCGGAGACGAGACACTGTGGTGTCAGCAGCCTGCTGTGGGGGGGCTGTGGGACCTCTGGACACTCGATCTTGCAGTAGGCTTCTGGGAAAGACCAGAGTCCGTCCTCCAGACACACTAACCTGTCACTGTCGCCTGTGGACGGGGGAGGATGGGGGAGGAGAAGGGAGACAAACGTTAGGATTTATGAACTGGATTTGGACAGATGCATGTTCTGAGAAATAACTCCGACTCAGCTGATGTTGTAGATAACACGGATGTTAGCTAGCCTTAGAGCCGCTCTGCTCACCTTGAAGTATGGCTGGTGATCCACAGGTGAATGAACACTGTTTACCAAACGTAGTTCCCCAAGGGCAGCTGAATATGGCGTGGTAGACGTGGGACTCATCCGGCACGCCGCAATCCACAGGCTGACAGCTAACGATACGATCCCAAGATCCGTGGAAACACTCCAGCTCTGTCTTCCTCTGAGGAGGAAGAGACAAAACAACAATATTGACACTATTTTTACCCTGAAGGGGTTAACACTGTCTATGTGGCAAATTTGTCCAACTTTCTTTTCAATGCATTTGCACATTGCAACATGTGATTATGCCATCTCGCTCACCTGATTGGCTGCCACTCTCTTGCCATTCAGGACGGTGACGGTGAAGCCACGATGGCACTGAACAGAGCAGCGAGAGGCTTCTCCTCCTCCACTACACCTGCAGAGACACACTGATATGTAAAGATAGTTGTTTTGTCCCGGTTGTCACGGGTCGTACCAGGTGACCTACCTGACCGAGGCGTGCTCTAAGTGAGGCAGACTGCAGCTGTCCATCTGGCACGGCTGCCGCAAACAGCTATTGGAGGGATGTGGCATGAGAGGGAGGAGAGAGGAGAGAGGAAGGTTGTTGAGATGAGGAAGGCAACAAGGAAGCTTTGAATGGTCACCTGGTTGTCACCTGGTGGTCACCTGGTTCTGATTTAGCTTCATATCAATTTTAAGAATATGTAAGCAGTACATTTTACACTGTGTTTGTGCAGTTCTACAGCCCTCTGTAATGGTGCAGTGCAGAAGTGTGTGTTAAGTAGGTAGCTGTGGGAAAGCCCACCCTCTGATGCGCACCCGGTCAGGGCGAAGGTGCTAAAATGACAGGAAGTCCTCAGAGCTACACCTCCCACGGCCACGAAGTGGGAAGAGAAGAGCAGGATGACTGAGGCCGTGAGGAAGAAAGGTCGGGAGAGGTCATGGGTCACATTGACCACTAAAGGGTTCCGATGGCATGACAGGTTATGTGCCCCTGGTGAGATGGAAGGAAACTGTTGTCATTTAGCAGCATACAACGCTAACGCCCAAGTTTGGCTAGTGAACTTTGACCTGATCTGTTCACATCAACTTGTTACTGTTGATTTACTACCAAAGAACAACTAGTACTGTACCTAAGGAATGGTTTTTGCCTGTAGTGTCAGACAGGAAGATGGTGGCGGTGCTTCGGCACTGATCTCCAGAAACTGAACCATCTGATGCCAGGAAGACCATGACGGAGGCTGCCACCCCAGGGTGAGCAAACCCCACCTACGTAGGACGATAAATGTAAAGGGAGAAAAAAATCAGGTGGTACTAGAAATATCAAGTCACAAAAAATAGTAAAGTGCCGTTCTTGCTGCCGGCCGACATGTGCATCGTTGTCATGGAGATGTGTTTAGTTCGCCGTTTCTTCAGCGTTTTATTACTGTAAATGTTTATTATTACATTACAGCCGATCCTGTCACACCGTTGTTTTTGTTTTATTTTCTGTAGCCGTGACAAATGAAGACATGATTACAAATCTGAAGTTATTTCATCCCATGATAATGTTGTTTAAACTTCATGAACCATGACTTCATTTTCTAACACCTGTTTTCCCACTATGGTTAACCATCATAGAGCCGAGGGTTTTCTATTATTATTTGGAAGATTCTAGTGATTACTGTTTGTCATGGCAGTGGAATCATACACAAATCATTAGTACTCCTGGTTCTCCGTTGACCTGGAAAATGAGTCATTAGGATGTCTGAGGTATCATAGGAATAATGTAATTGTTAGACATTTAGGAATGTGTGTGCGTGCATTTGTGCGTTTGTGCTTGTGTGCATGCTGCGGTGAGAGCCAGCAGTCTGAATGAGCGGCCTTTGAACCCCATCTGAGAAGTATTGGCAAGAGTTTGGAAGCTGTTGAGGAGGAGCCACCCACAGTCCATGACTTTAGTGGGAAGAAAATGCTACACACACACACACACACACACACTTTTATCCAAATACTCCAAAAAACATTCCAGAAGAATCCAAGGGAAGAATATTTATATATAACTGTATTATTGTTACTCAGACTATCAGACAGATGTTCGTAAACGTCACTCTGTTGTAAAGGCATCGTTCACAGGTGTACACACACACACACACACACACACACACACACACACACACACACACACACTTTTATCCAAATACTCCAAAAAACATTCCAGAAGAATCCAAGGGAAGAATATTTATATATAACTGTATTATTGTTACTCAGACTATCAGACAGATGTTCGTAAACGTCACACTGTTGTAAAGGCATCGTTCACAGGTGTACACACACACACACATCCATTCACTCTCCACCTCAGTCTTCCTTATCAGAGCTGAAGATAACACTTCAGTGATGTCATAGAAACTGAGTGTAGCTTCAGTTTTTTCTTCTCTCATCCCACAGCAGACAAAGCCCTTTTCTTCTCTAACTTCTCTCATCCCACAGCAGACAAAGCCAAAGAAAAGGTTTTTATTTCAACCTTTTTTCACCTCCACAAAGTTTCAGTTAAAATTAATATATTTTTCAGACCTTCAGTAAAATATACCTGCAGCACCTGAAATAACAAAGGTACAAAATCCATTTCCAACCAACTGTCTGTGAAGTGCAGCCTGCAGGGCCGTGGTACTGCTCACAAATGAAGACGTTCAAACCACACCATAGCATTTGTCAGGCGACTCCTCCATCCTGGAGCTGACATCTAAACACAAACAGCCTCACACTCACATTCATCCCATCATGAATATATTGGTAAAGACCTTGAACAAACACACCTTCAGCCAAAACGGGTGTTCGATGTCGTTGTTTGTGTCCGTCTGGGCCGTACAGGGGAACCAGCCTTTCGGTGCCAACATGTCGGCCACATCTGGGTGCTGGTACCTGCACAGCTTCCCGCAGAAGAACAAAGGATCATTAAATTTGACATGGTCATCAGGATATAAAGACTTCATCTTACAGGTCAAAGGTCAAGGTCAACAGGCCATGACCCATAGACATAGTTCCCCATAATTACCTCCCTTGCAAAGTCATGATAAGAGGAAACCCTCCAGGATCAAGTCAAGGCCGCGGGGTCACTGGTACCCAAATCTTCCTTCGTACTTTCAAAGCCCTTTTCGTAGCATTTTCACATGTTAAACTTTAGTCATGAAGGTATTGATTTTTTTGATCTAATGTGTGACATTCATAAATCATCTGTGGTTTTTAATTTTTCCTCTTTTCCTGTTGCCTGACGACTCATCTCTCACTTGTCCTCATCAGGTCCAACACTTCCTGGTCCCAGTGAAAATCTCAGCGTCAGTAATGAACATTAATTACAGGTAAGACTCCTATCTATCTGCCAACCCTCACACTCAGAGAGTCGACCAATCACAGGCCTTGACAGTCTGGATCAGACTGTAACAACAGTATCAGTATCTATTGTTTCACATGTACAGATTAGAACATCTGTCCTGACACCTTCATGACGACTCTTTAAAATATATATTTTTTTTTTTTGTTATACCTTGTGAACTGATGGCTCCCCTGTAGCGGCATTAGCGGGGCAGTGGATGGGGTCCTGATGGGACGCAGTAGCAGTGGTTGCCCACTGGTCGGTGTAGCCCAGCGGTGTGAAGTAGCCACAGTCTTGCCTACTGGAGTTTCGCTCAAACTCCTCACACACACCATCGCCATGGAATACATAACACTGACTGGGTTCACCTGGGAAGACAGAAGATGATTTGTGAAAGGATATAAACCCTGCTTTCTTAATCTGGCAGCGTTGAAGCCTATCTCCAACCGTTAGAATCAAGTCCAAATGTATTTGTCAGTGAACCAGAACAAAGTGAATTTTCATTTTTAGTATCGGCCATGTAGACTCAGGCGTATTTGGCTCATCAGCAAACTGTAAATAACAGAGAGGAATGGTGCTGACTTGGATTAATTAATAGAGATTACAGCTCATTTGTAATGTTCATATGCAGACGGTGAGCCTCGTCGCTGCCTCATGAATCCATCCCACTCCAGTGAGGTCCCTGCTGGGCTGCTACACGTCACCAGGTGACAAAAGAAGCAGCATCATGTGTTATGAAGGACAGCCAAAGCAATAGTAAAAACTTATTGCCTGTCTGGTAGATGATATAACTATAGACAGTTTTATTGTGTCTGCTAATGCATTCAAATCTTTTTCCATGTCAGCTTTTATTAACTCTCAAAGATCCAAGAACATTAGTGGAGAGGAAACCAAAACAAAGGCATTCGGCAGAGTCCAGGAGAGTCGAGAATGACACTCAGAACTGAACTGAACCGCCTCACATGAATACTGCACCGGCAGACGTATAATGTCATCCATTATAGATTATATATTAGTACGTTTGGTAATAATCTTGCATTTTGTTTCACAGACTCATAGTCTGACTCCGATATTTTTTTAAGGAACCTGAAAAAAACTGTTTTAAGGATTTTTAGGAGAGAACGTGTTCCTGTTGAACTGTCACTCCCTATTACTGCTGCTTTGAACATTAGTATGAATGGTTTTTATATGTGGCCCTGCAACGACTAACAGTGTCTGACATGACGGCTCTACGTTCCCAAATTCCTTCATGCTCCTAAACTGTTTTTGTCCCACCTACTGGTTTTACGCAAAACATTATAGGACTAAATAATTAAATAGCACAAGTTAAACAAATAAAAAAATTAATTTAAAACTTTTTAGTAATGCTTTCTGGGCAGCCAAATGATTGACGGCCTGGTACTGGTCCCACTGACCAACAATTCTCCTGTCATATCTGAGAGATTATTCTCTCCTGTGAGAGTCGATGCCACTGCCCACGTGTGTTTACTGGGAGTAAAGGTATCGGCAGGACATACCACAGTCGTGCATCACAGGAAGACTGGAAACCATGACCTGACAACGGTTTGAAAGCAGAAGCTATTCATTAGAAAAAAGGTGGAAAAATACTTCACGACTTTGGCCTCATTAATATGTGGACAGCTGCAGAAGTTATGCAGACGCAGCTGCAACAAAGATTAAAAGCTGCACTATTGGCTTCAATTAGTCAATCCAAGCACATCTCAGTAAAAGGCAAATTAGGTCACACTCCGATATGAATTTGGCAAAGTAGGATGAAGCAATCATTCCAGATAGCCCACCCTGCTTTGACAACACCTGTGACAATGATTAACACGAGGATTTTTTTTCTCAGCTTCAAAGAGCCTGAAATCTTCAACCATAATGTCAACACCATCTGTTATATTTGCTCAGTATTTTGTGCTTACTTTGTGTGATTTATTTTGCATTCAATCAGCAGGTTAAAAATGTAACTTTTGTACCTTTTTTATGCCTTCAGCGGATGCCGCCTGTCAGTAATGAAGATGCTGTAAAAGTTTGTGGTTTTCTAACCTCAGAGAATAGTCAGCTCTATAAGTCTGACAGCAAGGAAACACTGTTTGGCAAATCCAAGGAAACGTGAAAAGAAAACACAGACAAAGTGCATGACTAAGAAGTGCAACTGTAGTTAAGAGTGGCAATTTGTAAAAATGTCTTTGGCCAAATTGTTTTCTCTACTAGTTGTTCGTTGTAAAAGGTGGGGATACAATTGTTTCTCTCCAAACTCCAGCGTGTCGTTGCTGAACAAACACGTTGGCCGATTGTTGGAAATCTCAGTGCTGTTAGTGTCTCTAACAACAGTACATGCTTAGACTGTGTGAAAAATGACTAGCAGTGACCTCGACATGACCTGATAAGGCATATATGGAGGAGTTTATACAAAAAATATATGAAATAATTTTAGAAAAATACAATCGTAAAGAGCTTAACTTTTGAACTTAAAGGGATAGTTTGCTGTTTCCTGTCGTATCGATATATATAATAATATTTCAGTACTGGTTTGAGAAGTCAGACTGTGAAATGGGTTCATGTTGAGCCAGAGCGCTACTACATTGTTACCATGAGAACGTATCTGTGTAATATTACTGTCTCACACCTGTCAATCTTTGCAGTTTATATATAAAAACATGATCCACACACCATGACATTTGAATCCCTGCTCCTTGTGACATTTCTTGGAGCAGCCGTCACCATCCAACAGATTTCTGTCGTCACATTCTTCTGTCCTGAAAAAGAAGGATCAGAGTCATGACCTTTCATTTCACTTATTCTTCAGTTCAAAGGTTATCGTTGTGTGAGCCGGAGGACCGAGTCAACAGACCCTTGTACGACGCCATCTCCACAGTAGGACTGTCCGTGGGTGTAGGAGAGCGGTGGCGACGGAGCGCTGACAAGACCGTCAGCTTCCGCCTGGACTGTGTAACTGTACTGGACTCCTCTGGTCACAGAGCTGCAGGAGAGGGAAAGACAACGACTCAGCTGGTTGTCACGGTAACAACTTTAAATGTTACTACTGAAATCTATATCTGATTTTAACATATTTATATCTGATTGGTGCAAACAAGGAGGTGTTCCCTAAAATAGAATTTGACCCTTCTAAACATATCAACATTTCACAAGTGGTTCCCAAAGTGGGAATCTCAGAATTCCATAACGTCACATTTGAAATCTGTCTTCTTCTTATCGGTGTTTGAGCAGAAGCTGAAAAACCAGGGGCGACAGTAGAGACGGGGGTATTTTCAGGCTACGCTGAGGGGGGAAATCCAAAGTGACTTGTGGCTTTACATTTCCATTCTAGTTGTTGTTCAGAATTTCAAATTCCTCCCAAAAACACCAGGGTCCTTTCCACTCAGCTCTTCATGCTTGCTCATATTGTTTTGGCTCCATGTTGACTTGGCGTCCCGGTGATGAAAGACTGTGATTTGAGCTTGTCAAACCAGATCAGCCCCACAGACTGGAGACAGATATTTTTACCCAAATATAAGGGAATAGCCCAGGTTTTTGAAGTATGCTGTTGTGAAGGATTGAAACATGATCAACAGACAGACAGAAACCATGGCTGCCAGCAGCGAACACATGGCAAGACATATTGTTACCACTTAACAAAAGGATCATCTAATAAAGTCCAGACCTGTTATCGCCTCCTATGAATTAAGATTATTATATGGTAACTGATGGATGTAGCAAACTGGAGTTTCTGGAGATAAATATATACATTATTTAACTCCAGAAAGATGATGTTGAAGAGCTGTGTTAGGTAGATAATACTCTAATTCTATCTCTATAGACGAGGGGTCTCAAACTACTGGCCCGCGGGCCACTTTCTGACCCACCTATGTCTGGTATCTGTGTATCTGCTATCGTTGTGGGGCAAATTTGTAAATCCTGACTCAGTCATAGAGTTTTTTGAGGTGGTTCAAGATTTTGTTTGGATTCTGGATGAGAGTTAGGGTCCAGTTACAGATCGGGTAAGAATGGAGAGTAGGGATTTGTTTGTAATAGTAAAGTTAGCATAACAGGCTATAGAATGGAGTATGTCAATGGGAAGTGCTAACAATGTGTATGTGTGTATGTGTAAATCATCATTTATATGTCCAGAACGTGTGTATGTGTAAATCATCATTTATATAACTATACATCTGATAAAAACGCTGCATCCTGGATATCAAATCTCTCCACTCCAAAATAATCCAAACACTGAGCATTCACCTGTCAGTGAAGCTCTGCTGAGTCTGAGGTGGGGGGCTCCTGCTGGTGAACGGAGGCTGTCGCTGTATCCTGTAGAGCAAAGGCACACAGTTGGAGCACAGAGAGCAGCCGGGGCCTGAGGACAGCATGGCTGCATCGATCTCCATCTTCTCATCGAAGGTGCAGAGTTTTATGGCAGCGATGGCAGCGTTGTTGGTGTTTAGACGTAAGGTGAGGGGCGTGTCACAGAAGACGTGCTGGGCACCCAGGCTGATGGTTTTCCCTGTGTCTGTCATCAGCTCTATGTTAGCCACGGCTGGGTTACCTGGAGGTTAAATTAGAGACCAGATAAACTCACCCAACACAACAGTCCCAAAACAGTTCCAGCCAAACCGAAAGCATCAAACTGGAGACTCACTTGATGAGATGTAGGTGACCCACAGAGTGAGTGTGCGTGGGACGACGGGGTGGAGGAACCTCAGTGTTAGGGTGCAGCCCTCCGTGTCAGGACATGGTGAGGTGACGTTAGTGTCGTACAGGCTCAGCTCAGGGCTCCAGGCCTGGAGACTGAGCTCACAGGGCTGCTCCACATCAGGTGGGCCTGCAGTGAGGTGACACAGACACAGACACAGACACATGTGAGTTAGCATGTACAGTGTAGAGATACACCAGCAGCATGAGGGAACACACGATGTTGTCAGTTCTTCAGCACTGTAATAAATACTGACCCATAATAATTTTACATATTTTCTGGATATATTTTTTTAAACTTTTGAACCCCTAATTGAAGGCAGCGTCAAACGCACATGTACATGGAGTCCACTGACTGCTGGCTTGGTCTTGGGAATGAAGGCAGGATAAACAGAGTGATGCCAAGTCAGGCAGTGAAACCAAACACAGAGAGATGAGGCTGTGAGTGTGTCTCAGCACGTCCATCATCAATCCCACTGTCACATTGGGGCAGGTGTCAGTACAACACCGTCCATACATTCATCACATATTTATCACACACACCACATGACCACAGCTGGCCTATCAGAGGCCTGACAGTTATTTGGGAGTTTAAGGTCTATCATAAATAATCGGATATGAACACACGATGTTCAGCCAAAATTAGGAGCTCAGTTCTTTTCCGTTTAAGCATTTCTCACTTTGAGAGTTTTGTCTGTGACTTTATTTCAAGTTTAAACTCAGCTCATCACCTGCAAAAGTGTTTCAATATTTTAATGTGATTAAGAGGAGTGCAGCTGGGTCAGTGCGACGCCGTGACTCAGGGATCGCTGAGCAGATCTCAGGGTCAACCAAAGGTTTATTATGTGCATGTGGATACCAACATTTTTTGGTAGAAAAGGGAATTTAAACCTCTTTTAATATCGGCTTTTACAAACTGTGTTCAATCATTCTAATGTTAATGTTAATGTTAATACAGTTTGTCTATTTGTTTCTACCTCACAGGGTTTTTTTCTCCCTGCTTCTTGTTTTACTGCAAAATATTTGTTTGTCTTGGCCCTAAATTTCTACTTTTGTTTTTGTTTTTATTTTTATTCAAATTAGGCGAGTGTTTAAAATAACTATTTAAATCCCTTTTATGTGCTTCCATACTTGGATTAAACCATTTTTTTTAAATTCTACATTCTCTATTAGTCACACAAAATTTGACAGATTACATTTTACTATTAATATCAGTAAATAGTATTTTGTTTTTTTTTAATATAGACAGACCAGTCAGACAGACCAGTCAGTCAGACCAGTCACTCAGACCAGTCAGTCAGTGGCGACACTAAATATAAACCAACAACAGCTTTTTGTCATCAACCTCAACATCCTGTACTTCCAGCTACAGTATGAATTATTCCAATTTCCCCTCTCCACTTTCAGCCGAAGGCAATATTTCCCATCTTTGTTGACAAAGTGACCCCTGTGCATCTTTGCCGTCAGAAGTGGGAAATAGTGAAAAGGGAGACAGGGAAGCCAGCAGACTGGCTGTCTCCTCAGCTATGTGCATACCACTGTTTGGAGTAAGTCTGTAATTGACTCTTTATCATCATTATGATCCCACAGAGAAAGCGAGGCAGCCGTAATCCCCCTGTTTCTCCTTACTGCTTATTTTCAAAGCATAAATTCCAGCAGAGGATTTCCACATACTTGGGTAGAGTTTCCATTGAAGAAAGAAATGCAGTTGTGTTTGTAAATTTGTTCCTCCACCTCCACCCGACCCCCCCATCCTTTATAATCTGTTTTTTTTCTCCCTTCTCTTAATGTTTTGGGTTGTTTTTTTCTTTTCTTGTTTCTTTCCCCTCATTCTACATGTCATGTGAGGGGAGACGTTGCTCCTCCAGAAAAATTGATTGAAATAACAAGGACCATGTGCGTATTGTTGAAGGAAACTATTTCTGGGGGGAGTTTTTGTTTATGACAGAGGTCCAGTGTTTGAACCACACACAAACATTACCCAGAGTCGACACTTTGCCTAATAATCTCTGTTCGCGCCTTTGCCTCAAACAGAGCAGAGACAGAAACAGCTGTGTGGCAAAGGGCAATCATCATGTAACCATTTTCTGCCTTTTTTCCCCTTCCAGAAGCCATTAGCCTTGCACGCACCTGAAATTTACAGAGGAAAGATGTCTGCGTGTGTTGGGGGGGAGAGTGGGAGGTCAGTTTTCATGAGTGTGTGTGTGTTTTCTTGGGTGGGGGGGGGGGGGATGTGGTTCATGGAAACAAAAGACAGAAGTAAAACCAAAAGACACGACACAAACCCAAAACCACTGCATTCCTGTCGGTCAATTATTTGTTGACTAGGAGGAATGTGGACGTATGAGGGGGACAATGAGTAGAATGAGGAAGCAAGGAAGGAAGGAAGGAAGGTATGAAAAAGAAAGAAGAGAGAAACAAAACAGAAATAATAAAACATGTACATGCAAATTCTCTCTCTATTTCTCTCTCTCTCTCTCTCTCTCTCACACACACACACACATACACAGTTTGTGACTGACCGACAGCCTCCTCCGGTGTCCAGTAGCCTGATGTATCACAGATGCGAGGAGACGCAGCCTCAGAGGCAAACTGGTGGAAAACACCGTCCGTGTCACAGTCTCCACAGTTGACTCCAGACGTGTGACCTGAAGAGCTGAGAAAAAAAACATTTGAAACTGATCACTTCTATATTTAAACAGGTTGTCTTTCCAACTGCTAATGATGAGGTCATACCTTTGGTAAAGACGTCCTCTGAGAGGAGACAACCAGTAGATGGAGACAGAATCTGGACTCTGGTCAGTTACTATCGGAGGCAGGGGGATGGAGGCAGGGTCACGGTCCAGTAGCCATCCCTGGTAGACCATGTCTAGATAACAGTGCATCCTGGCCACTTGGTTGGGAGTGAAATGGTTCGTACAGTTGTCATCTGAGGTGGTGGACATACAGGAAAAGATCATCATCAACAACAAAACACATACTGTATGTGGATCAGATTAAAGTAGATTTGACCGACGCAGAACAGACATTCAAAAATATATCCAATAATTAGCTGGTGAAGTGTTTGCTCAAGCTCTAAGACCAAGGCTGTGTGTGTGTGTGTGTGTGTAATCCCTGTACCTGTGTAGCTCATAAAGTTGCTGTATGGAGTGTTCTGGTACTTGGTGACTCCACAGGTGTCGTTGACAACTCCAGGATCATGGCAGGCTTTGGATTTAGGTGTTGGAGCAGTGTCAGCACACAGATCTCCTGTCTCCATGGAAGGATGAGTCTCCTGGAAGTACAGGTGGAGGAGACATGAAGTATTGACTAGAAAAGTTTCAATTTTGAGCTTGAAAACATGTTTCACTTTTCCTACCTGACATGGGTCATCACAGGAATCCCGTTCGCTCACCCCTTTGAACACATGGTACAGGCCAAAGATGTGTCCCATCTCATGGATCATGGTGTTGGTGTGACCAGGGGTGCCAAAGTAGGAGGGGTTGAGCACCATCCCACCTGAGTCAACAGCAGACAGATTAGTGTAGCACTGATGCCACTATAAAACTCCCCGTCAGCAGATCAAATCAAAATCAAAAAGTAAATTAAGCTTGAAAGTTTGTCGCAGCGAATGGTCACAAAAATAGACTTTGGTTTCCAAGTCCAGACTCTGGCTACAAGCGATGCATCCATTCAGCTACATTGTGTTGTTTTCCACCACAACATGTACAGCTGGGATTTCCAAAACAGAAACAGAAACAGACCACCAAATAAAAAGCTGAGCACTCTGATGTAAAATTCATTTAAGAGCAAAGTGAACCTTGTGTGGTTCAAACCAAAGACTGAAAACGTAGCCAAGGTTTTTTCTAGTGGTTATGGAAAACATTGCGGAGGAACTTTGTATGTATGCCTGCACAAACAATAAACTACATTAGGCCGAGAAGCCGCTAGGAAATGATTTCTGTCAGAACCTTTCAATCAATAACCATCGCCGTTCTGTCGTCGTCCAGACGTCTCGTTCTTTGAAAAAGTACAACTTATTCAATTGTGAAGACAAATTTAAAATCCAGCTCTCTTGTTTCAAGATAACAAACAAAATGTTCATAGCGATTTTCTTCAAAACCTCTTAGTGGTTCAAGGCTCCGATCACATGTTTTTCCACAATAGCCCAACATTTTCATTTGTTATTATTGTTGTTATTATAATAAATGTTTAAAAAAACACTGCTACATATTATAGGAAACTTATTCTTGTAGAAATTGTTGAATATTAATAATATTCTTCCTTCTTGGGGGCACAGGGTAAACAGGAGTCAATCTGAGCAGCGGCAAATGTAGGGTTCAGGGTTCCTTCACTGGGCCATGTTTAATTCCCACATTTTATGTTTTTGGACTTCTGTAGCCGCAGTACTTTTTCTGTTTTGTACTGAAAATAGCAGAAATTAATGTTTAAAAAAGGTTTAATGGAGTGTTGAAGCTAAAGATGTAAATGATGACCTGAGGCTCTAGGACTGAACATCTTTATTCCTCCAACTGTCGTTAAGAGCGATCTGAATGGACCTCGGTTCACCCCACAGTTCTGCCATCTAACCTTCAGCTATGCTGATTCGCTGAGTCTTTTGTCTTGTAAACATAGGTATTTTTTGAAAGAACACTCTGAGTGGGAAACAACAAATCACACATTTTGTTGCGGCACGTTTCCAAAAAGTCTTTTACTTTAATAGATAAATGCTTCCTCTGGAAGTACATCTACACCAAGTACTTTGCTCCCTGCTCCGTACTGGCAGGAGAAAAAAGGTGCTCAGCCTACATAAATAAAGAACAGCTGTCATGTGAGCGTGAATGGCAACAGAGGCACCGCGCCGAGACTGCTATTCATTTGTTTGTTTGGTTGTTGTTGAGTTGATTAGCCATATCCAGTGAAACGGGCCCAGATGATTTGAAATGGAAAGCGGCAGTGTGCTGGGAAAAACTCTCTTTTTTTTTTCTTTTTTCTTTTTTATCATTTTAGAGAAGCTGAAGGAAACTCCTATTTTCCTTGTTAGGGAACAGCCAACGAGGACAACAAAGGAATAAATGAGGGGGAAAAAAAGATGAATGAACATATAGAACTTAAAACAAAAAGCATGAAGAATATCCAAGTCTGCCACAGACAGGTACAAAGTACAAAACAATTTTGGCCAAACCACCATAGCATGTGCTAAATTTACGAAAAGAAATGAAAAAAATATTGTTAACTTTGGGTGAAATAAAAACAGAAAAAATATTCTGAACTGGTAAAATAACCTTAAGAAATTTGAACTGTTTTTCTCTATTAAACACTACCTGCTTACAACAGGAAATAAATAATTTTAAACAGAATTAAGTTCAAATTGTTCAGTCCAAATAACATGTTGCTTTTTACTGTGTTTGTATGAGACGGGGACAGGGAGGAAAGCCGAGAGAGTGCAGGTGACCAGCAGAGGGAGTTGGTGGAATGCAGCCGGGCAGCTAACAAAGACCAATCTACCTATGCAGGTAAAATTGTCTGCAATTTATTCTATATATTATAAAAACTAATGAAGTATTTTTACTGAAATATAATTAAATCATGTATGATAATGAGTCAGATTACAACTGTTTTCATTCAACTATGTTGATAACGAGTCAGATTACAACTGTTTTCATTCAAAATAATACAACTACTGTAGTCAGTTAATGAGTCTTTTCACTTTTAGAATATAATAAACCATCCAGTCATGTTCATCACAGATGAATTAGCCCACCTTGGTGGGTCAGTGCCTCCTTTGCCCACGGCCAGGTTGCAGCTCCTGCCAGCTCTTCTCGTACTGAGTTGTTGGCAAAGAAAACATTGAGTGTGTCAGCGCTGCTCAGGTTGAGCTCCTCTTTTAACTCTTTCACACTTATATAGGCCCTGTGGAAAATGAAAGAAGAGAACATTTGAAATACGGTTGTTCTCTTCATATGCTTTTCTTATTTTTTACTCTTTATTTATTTTATGTATGTGCGGTTAATAAGTAAAACGACAAGCTAACATGCTAAAATGTTATAAGTAAATACCATATAAAATATTATTTATTCCATTTATGTCTTTGTCTAAATGTTATTTTAAAAAAGGCCTGTTTTTATCTGCACATTTTAGCTGTTTACAGCATCTGAATGTGATTGAGGTGAGCCTGTGACTGAACCTTTAAGCCTCCTCTATGGGAAAATTCTGCATGAATGAAGTAAGCCACTAATTCCCAACCATCCGCCCAAACAGTTCTATCTGTCTGTCTAAGTGTTATTTATCAGCCAAGATCTTCGCATGACTCCATGTGTCACGTGTGACGCAATCACTGCCTGAGTAAAAGTGTAGTACAGTAAATAAGTCAGTGGTTTCTCAGGCACTGGCTCAATGAGGCTGAAGATTTAAGGTGCTTCAGGGACACCGTGTTCTAACATGACTGCAGTCAGAGAGGTTCAGCTGAGGGTGTGAGCAGAGTCCGTAAATATCAAAATGACATTTATTTGACTTGCTCTGATTGCCCTTGCAAGATCTTTGACCACCCAAGGGGGCGCTGGCCCCCAGTTTGGGAATCGCTGCTTTACAGCAAGAAGGTAAACAATTGGATAACAGGTGGTCACTCATTGTCTGGACGTTCACTGATTTTTCTGAGTGCTCCAGTTTTCTCCCATAGTCCAAAAACAGGTAGGTAGGTATAGTTTATTGTTCACTGAATGGTTGTTGGAAGGGTTCAGGTGGAAAATGATGGCTAAATATTCTACATGAGATTCACATGCATGTGAAGCATCAACGAAGGCTGGAGCAGAATCCTCCTGTCACGGGTGTTTCCCTGACCTCCGTCCACAAACATGTACTGTCCAGGATTTGCTAATCATAAATGTTTGCAGATTGTGGACATGTGTCTCTGTATAAGTGGACATGATGTCCCGTGCTACCACATCACATTCTCTCCACCCATGTCTCTCTTCCTCTTTCCCCACACTGCGTTTCTTTGTTGTGCTGCCAGGATCTCTGGTGTACCTGCCTATCACTTCAGAACAAGCTCTGGACAACAACTCTGTGCTTTGACAGCAGCTGGCTCCAGAAAGTTCTGGTCCTTGGCTGGCCAGCAGCAGCAGCTGCACACTTCTGAACTCCCACCATCAGAGGAGGCTGCCAAAATAGAGTACTAAGGGAATAAAGGAGGTGGGGCAAAAAAACATGCACACATGGAGACATACAGGAGAGCAGTCATTACCTACGTTATTATATATATTATATTTCAAGAGCAGAGGAGGTTGTTCATTCATCTCCTCCTGCACAGTCTTTGTCAGGGCTATAGTCCGTTTACATTGTCCAATGAACAATGTAAGGGGGGTTAACTGGAACATTAAATATTATAGTTTTTCTTTTTCTATATGGCCTCTATTTTTGTGGGTTTTCAGGGCCACCTATAGAAACAAACACCCATTCACACTAACCGTATGGTCAATTTAGAGTGAACAATTTCCTTAAATGGGCATGTTTTTGAACCGGAGGAGGAAACCAGAGTCCCTGGAGAAAACCTGCACACAGCCAGAACAGCAACTTCCAGTGAAGCAGCAGTGTTCTTTCTGTAAGCCAAAACCGCTCCTCCACCGTGCAGCCTGCTACCAGCGTTGTTTATCAAAAATATCTTTCTGCTTTGGCCTAGCAGACCAATGGGAAATGGGTTTGTCATTGACATGGCTAGATGTGGAGGAGAGGTTGAGTTACATCACCTGTCAGGAGACTCTGGATCAAAGCAGGTCTTGAGGACGTCCGTCACCTCAGGGTCACAACAGTCTCCGTCATCGTAGTCATACAGTATACTGTTGCACTCCATGTTACAAACACCGTCCTGCCTCTTCCAGTTGTAGCAGGGCCCAAGTCGCAAGCAATCGCCTCCATCATGGCCCGTCCTCGGATGGTCACACTCTGGGTCACATCTGCGATTACCTATTTTGCCAATCCGACAGTTGCTGAGGGTGAACCTCTGTCTGAGGCTGGAGTTTCCCACCATGTGCACGCTCAGATCTAGGGTGATGTTGTAGGGGCGGAAGGCCTCGGTCAGAGCCCAGTGCTGCAGCTGGATTTGGGCTTGTGTCACCGTAGGGTTCCCACCGTCATCGTTGGAAAGGTTGACGATCCTGTAGCGAACCTGTTTGGTGGAACGAAGCTGCCAGCTGTTGTTGTAGCTTGAGACGATGTCTGTGTTGTCACAGGGTGTCAGGCCACAAGGTGGCGGCAGAAAGGATGAGACAGGTTGATGTTCAGGGACTGGAGTGATGATGATGGCTGGATGGAGACCAGATTTATGTGAAGTCCAAAGGTCTTCCACCTAACACAATAAATAAAATATTTTTGGAACAGTAATTAAAAAAGGAAGTTTTTAATATCTTTGAAAATGTTGTTTTAAAAAAAACTGTTTCACTGTTTGAAAGATGAGAAGATGAGCAGAGAGTGACAGATTTAGAGAAGCTCGAAGTGCGTTCATGGTCTGAGCTACTTTAGGAATGTTTCTTCGCTTCCTGATTGAGATTCTCTCAGTTTCTCTTTATGTTTCTAAAATGACCAAAGACTGGGCCACTCTGAGGTTGTGTCTGGACCACTTGTGGCCCGCAGCCTGCAATTTGAACAGGCTGGGCTTACAATAAAACATTTGGAAATAAAGTTAGGGGGCAGCGTGAGATGTTTGGTGCATGTGTAAATGTAACACTGGATATGTGGTACAAATGGTGATAAAAACATGAGATGAAGAGGAAGATGAAGAAGAAGGAGAAAGCCATTAACAGAGTTATTACATTAGTGAAGTCAGCCCACATTGCCAGGATCGGTTCGCTCTGGTCATTTTGAGGTGGCTGCTTCAGCAGGTCTGCTTGAGAGCGAGCGTGGTCCCATAAAATCAAACCTCCTACGTGACCCCTATAACTGTAGCCCTGGTCTGACTGGTTACTGCCAAGAAAGAAAGTTCTGCAGGTACTCATGAAGGAGCTGTACAGGTTCCCAGACTGGAGACTGCTTTCTCCCACCTGAGAAAAAAACGTGAAGCTATAGCAAGAAGCCATGTTGATAAATATCAAAACTCCACTTCAACATTTAGTCATGGGCCAAAAGTACACACCTTGGCTCCATCAACATACAGGATCATGTTGTGACCATTGTAAGTGGCCATCAGATGAGTCCAGACGTTGGCGTGGTATCGTTTGTGGCTGTAGACAGTAGTAGAATTCACTGCTCGGTCAGTCCGCAGGGTGAAGTAGAACCTCGCGTCTTTAGTCCCAGCAGGTTCCACAGTGCGTATTCCTACTGACCAGCCCTTTTCACTCAAGGTGTGGGAACAGTTGTCAAATACACCTACAATGTACGCACAAGATGGATCAGGAGAAAAACATGAAATAAGTGCTTTGAGTTACTACAACAAATACTGAATGATACGTACAAATACTCTGATATCTGCAGAACACGGTGTTCAGACCTCGTGTCAACATCTATTGTTAGTGATGTGATTACATGTGGACTGAAACGTTTGGTCTGAACTGTGTGTGTGTGTGTGTGTGATCAATTCCAGCAGGTCAGTTGTCAATAGTCTGGACTGAAGGCGTCTGAGACAAACAGAGAGGCAGAACAGCAGGAGAGAACACAGAGGCAAAGACAGAATGGAGGGATTTCACTCAGCCAAAACAAAACCATCGTTCCATCTGTTCATGCAACAGACCAACACTGAAGCACATCTGCAGCACAGATGTCTCACTCTGGAGACGGCAAAAGGTCAGGGAACCCCTCCATCCGTCTCAGTGCTTTATGTTTTCACAGGTAAAATGTGCACTGCATGTAAATTCTGACGCAGAACAGAAAGAATATATTTTGAAGATTTTATTTTAAAAAACGGCACTTGGTGAGATGTTCTTGCACATTTTGTTTATATAGTAATTAAATTAATCGCTTTGGTTCTCAAACTTTGGCATGTGTACTTCTGGTGGTCCTTGGGCTCCCTCTTGTGGTACAAAGGGGAATGTCATTTCTCATTAAGATTAAGAGAGTCTTTGATGACAAATACAGCTGTCTTTATTCTTTCTTTCTCTGTGTGTGGGGGTTTCAGAATAAAAGACAAGTTCTAGTGCTACTTTATAGGATCCTAATGTTTTTGGAAAAAAAAAATTTAACAACAATTTCTGCAAAACTGGACATCAATGAACACAATAGAATTAAATTGAATGAAGCATGTGCACATTCTTTTGTGGGCCTTCAGTAAAAAAATGAAAAATCTTTGACTGTCAACCATTTACCGCACCCCACACTTTGGGAACCACTTGTTTTTTATGCAGACAGAATCATGCAGTTCTCACCCACCTGCTATGACTGCAGGGTTGCTCTGTCCTCCTTCAGGTTTCACCCAGAGTTCCAGGCTGAACTTATCCCTGGGCAGGTCCACTCTCACTGACGTCTTCAGCTTCAGCTGCTCCCGACGCCCGCTGAAGTACAGGGCTGTCATCCAGGTAGGGGGCACCGTGGGTACGGAGCCACCCCACGGAGAGGAGCTGCTGGTGGGCAGGCTCACCGTTGGGTCGGCTTCCTCCATCTCCCCAGAGTAGTCGTCCTCCACAGCTGTATCCAGCTGCAGCTGCGCTTTTTCGTAAGGCTCCGTGTCGAATAGACTGCGCGCGCGTCTGAAGCCAGAGCCGCGTGGCACCGCGCTCTGGCCGCCAGCTTTACGCACAGGTCCTTTGGTGGCAGCGTCCTTAACAAAATCCTGGTCTCTGCTGTCACGGTTGTCCACATGCTGCCGTTCAGGTGACGTGACAAATCCGTTGTCCACATCCTCATCGTCCCGCCAACTTTCCTTCTCCTCGACCTCGGCATCACCCTCGCATCCTCCCGCATTGACCGCAGGCGCGCTCCTTGCAGCGCGCAGCGCTCTGAGGCTGGTGTCTGTCCTTGCATAGACCGCTGGAGGGCGGTGTTGGGACGAAAAGATGGAGCGAGGCTGTCTCCAGGACCTGGAGACGCCGGAGACCGTGCAGGGTTCACCTGCCAGCCTGGAGAGCTCGCGGTCGGCCCGCTGCGCAATGGCACGTTTGTAACTGAGCGCGTCGGAATGAACCGGACTGGGCCACGTGTTTGCGTTCAGAGTCAGGAGGATAACCAGTAGTCTGATCAACAACATCTTTTGGAAACTCTACAATATATTTATAGTGATGTATTGTATGAATATGACAATTTAGGCGGAGATAATAATGGCGTTTCACATCAACACTAACTATTTTAACTGAATATAAGGCCGTTATCAGTGCAGGAGTTCGTGCATAAATTTGGTCTGAGTATATTTCGTATTATATTTGTAAAGAGTGTGGATGGATGTCAGGTTTAGGAAAAAACATTCTGAATGAGTTCAGCTCTTTTGTTGCTGCAGCTGCACTGACTCCCCTCTCTTCCTCTTTCTTGCACTTTGCGCGGAGCTTCAGACGCAAATCTGCGCCTTTCTCTTATCCATGCTGTCGACACATGTCAGCATCACCTGGCACACTGACAAAAGTGGAATAAATATAGATGTTACTATAACGTCAAACTGCTTGCCTTGTACTTTATACGCAGAAGAGTTAAAGGAAGACTAAAGGTTGTTTAATTCATCGCGGAATAAAAAAAAGACCGATTTAATCACCCTGAGAAAGGCTTAGGTTTACAATTTGCGGTAAATATCCTAATCTTGGAAAACAAAATGTCCTTTTGAAATGAACTTGTCCAAAGTTTCCTCTCTTTTTATTTTTACCTGTCCATTATTGCGTCCTTTCCCAAAATGTTGATGCAAGGTGTCAGAGTAATAAGAAAAAGTCCTGTCCAAAAACGTGTCCACCTAAATAGATGAGTTTTCCCCCAAAATAACAAGTCTATTAATAATGGTAATAATGCGGTGAAAATATCAGTCCATCAATGTCCCACCACCGTGCGTCGGATCCTCTTGGCAATGTTGCACGTCTGTGAGCGATGCTGCTTCTGTACACCGGTACATGCACACTGGGTGGAATGTCCTCCTCCATTCACTGCTCCCTCTCTCTCCCTCTCCCTCTCCCTCTCTTTCTCTCTCCTGTGGAGCCCAAAAGTTTTTTTTTTCTAAGAGCCCCTGCCCGCCTTGACATCACCGGTGGTGATGGTTTTGGAGATCCGGTGTGTGTTTGTGTGTTTTTGTATGTGTGTGTGTGTGAGAGAGAGAGAGAGAGACAGACAGAGAGAGAGAGAGAGAGAGATAGTATGCACTTGCTTTTTTCTTACTTCTCTGAGTCTGGCACCTATTGGGTACAGGCTGACTGTGCCCAACGAAGTGCCTCATCTTCAGAGACTCACAGGTGTCAATGAGTTACAAAACACATGACAACTTACCTATTGGGTACAGGCTGACTGTGTCCAACGAAGTGCCCAGTCAAGTTCTCTAAAAAACATCTTCAGAGACTCACAGGTTTCAATGAGTTACAAAACACATGACAACTTTTTTATAGGTTTAAAAAAGTATAAGTAAAAGTACCTCAAAAGTATTACAACAAAATTCTGGAGTTCAACCTACTCAGGACACAGAGAGTCACACTTATTGTCCATTCTGGTATTGTTTTTCTGTCACCCTGGCCGTGACCTCTTGTACTTGTATGTGGGAGACAGGGGTGAGATACAACAGGGTGTATAGGTTGTGAGTTTGCATGTTTTGTTTGCATGTTTTACCTGAGCTCAAACTGTCCATATGGCGATTAGTGGGAACTGAGACACGAGACTAAAGACTTCTGCAAGACTTCTGTTCCCATCAGAGAATTCCTTCTTTTCGGAATTCTGGGGGATGTGTTTCGCTCCAGGTCGCAGTCTCATCTAAGGACTGAAGTCCAGGTCTTTTTCAAATGTTTTTCAGTTTTGGGAAAAAAGAAAAAGAAAATCAGACGCACCCAGATCAAAGCCTGCTGCAGAGGTTTAATCATTTTAACAGTTTTCTTTTCAGGTTTGGTTACAACTATAATGTTCTTCTCTGTTTCCAAAATTAGAATTGAAAAGTCTGATCAAATAAAGTGTAACACAGCTCAACAGGTGACCAGGATATAATGAGGAAACTTGTCAAAGCTGTCAGAGACGCCTGAGAGACATGTCTAAACAGGTTTGACTTATTAAAATCACACACTTTTTAAAATGATAGCACCTGACTCTGAACTTTAGGAATATGTGTATATCTACATTATAAAGGCATGTAAACGTCATATATTTATATACAGTTTAGATCTCTACCTTGCCATCGCCCCAATAGCTGCACACTAAATGGAGAGGTCTCCATAACCCCCTCTGCCCCTGCCTGCTCCTCCTCTGCTTCTTCTCTACCTCCCCATCCTCTTGATCTCTCACTCATTCACTCATGCTCTGGCTCTCTTCAGCCGTGCAGCACAGACAGGCGCAACATCTGTCTTGCACATGAAAAAGTTGTTGTTTTTTTTTTTTTGGTTTTTTGTAAGTTCCCTGTCATTCCAAGTATGCTACCTGCATTGCGGCACACCCTTGTGGCCTGAGCGGGGCTGTAAGGACAGGGTGAGGAAGTGAGTTTCCGAGAGGCCGAAGTCTGGGAATGGATACGATATGATATTTAAAAAAAAAAAAAATGTGATTGTTTTTATTTTATATGAAATTTGTTTTATTTCAAATAAATAAGTGTTCATTGGTAATAAATGTAAAAAAAAGCAGACCCTTCCCCTAATACAAGGTGGATATAAATACTGATGGTTAACAGTGTGTATTAAAGCATGAATACAACTGAAGGACTTCTCAGAAACAATACTAAGAACGAAAACCCTAAAAAGTATTATTTAGAATAAAATAATTATTTTATAAAAATAATTAAAAATCCATTTTAAATTTTAAAGACTTTTATTTCCAACAACAATATAATAATTATTTTATTTTTATTTTTAAGTTGTTGCTCAATAGAGTGTGGTACAATGAACAAATGTCTGAACGCTAATTTCAAAGAAGAAATATCTAAAACTAAAATTACAATTTATTACATAATTATTTATTTATTAAATATAGCATGGGTTATATTACAATAATGTATTTTAATGATTACACTAAATATAATTCATCAAATGGATCGTATTATGTATTTTGTTTGTTCTTTGTTGGGGTCGACTTGTACACAGGACCCTGCCTTGAGACACGAGATGGAGATGGAGGAAGAGGTTGCTAGCAGTTATGGCAGGGGCCCCAGAAGGGGCAAAAAAAAAGTTCCTAAAGGGTGGGAGGCAGGAATTCCACAATCCCAGACTCTCTGACTGAGAGATCTGCCTGCTAACATTCAGCTTTTTTCTGCTAGCAAAGTTTCCTTTGAAATCCAGCTGCAACTCAAAAAAGAAACAAGAAATAGGAGGGCGGGGTTGCTTTTAAGAAAAAGTGAAAAGGGGAGGGAGAGGGGACGGGAGGGAGGGAGAGAGGGAGGGAGAGGATGAAGGAGAAGAGACAGAAGAAGAGAGTGATTTTGGAGTGTGCAGTAATGAGTGTGTGTGTGTGTGTATTTGTGTGTGTATGCATAACGGGGGAGAGAGAGTGAGAGAGAGAGAGAAAGGGTCACCAACTGGGTGTGCTCCGCTGGGGCCTCACCCCCCACTGTAAAGGACCTCCACAGATTATCCTTCATCTGAGCTTGTCGGCCTTGACCTCACTGACCCTGAGGCCCACTCTGTCTTCTCTTTACTGCTCTTTCACACCCATTTTCCACTCACTCACTCACCCACTCACACACTCACTCACACCCCACTTATTTCCCCTCAGATCACTCTGCCACTTATTTCTCTACTACCTTACAGCCACTCGCTAACATCCCATGCAAAAACATCACTGACCCCACAGCCCACCAACACCTATTCCCTGGAACTTTGTCCTTGTTGGGACAGCTTTTCCTTGTGGATACATTTTGAATATCCCACTGAGTAAGAAAATAATCTGAGATTCAAAATTTAATTTGGAGTTAGAGCTAGAATTGGGGTGAGGTTAGCATTAGGGTTAGAACTTAGATTAGATAAATATTTGTAATAGTTAGGGTTAGGATCTGAGGCACGGGTATTTATTGTTTTTAAGTGAAGTGCTCAGGAAACAGTGTGAGTTTGTGTGTTGTGGAGGACAAATGATGAGAGGAAGAAAGAAGGAAGGGGAGAAAAGGGAAAGAAAGAAAGAAAGAAGGCAGGCTATTCAGGCAAGGTAGCCACTGGCATGGAGTAGAAAAGCAAGAGGGCAAGAGGGGGACACACAGTGTTCGTATAGTAGTCCTCAGGTGTTTCCCTCAAAGGGACTTATTCAGTCAACAATTTTATATGTTACCAATGACCCAGTATTATACGTTAAAGTGACAATAACAATCAGTTTTCAGCTTTTCCTTACTTATATGTTTATACTCTGTATATGCCTAATGTATTTGATCTAAAATAAACATTCAGCCGTCTCATGTACTTTACATTAGTTTGTGTGACATTAAATCATCAAGATCGAGCTATGTGTGCAACGGAGAAAGACGTCCTCACACAGTCGTCCTCGTCCAGACATCACCCTACGGGTAACTGTATCCAGTAGTTTTCCTCTTGCTGACAACCTCACTCCACATCCTAGCGAAACTCCATAATGATACATATAAACTCCTTCCACAAACAAAAACATGGGAAAATCCATGTTGTGTGTGCCTACATGGAGGACCTCTTGTTTGCTTACGTGGAGGTAAAAATGGAAAAGCAAGTTGCAGCGTTGGATAAACTGTGAGCATGAATATGTTACTGCTCCTTTGGTTTTATTTGCAAAAGCTACAGGTGGATGTTTGAATGACATGTTTGCTTTGGCATGCACTCTGGCAGCAACTTTGTAAATGCAACCTGACTGCTTGTTTTTTGATGGTAGAGTAATATCAGTGAGGGGTTGAAGGGAAGTAAAGTGAGGAGAATGAGAACAATCACTCAGCAGCAAACATAACTAATAATAAAGATTTTTCCAAAGTCAAACATGCGTGTTCAAAGATGCTTTTTTATAACTCGTACGTTGTAACACTTGGTTTCTTTACTATTAGTTTGAACCAGTTTGACTAGTCTCCTATTAAAAATGGAATTGACAATGTGACATTGTATCTGACTATTGTATTGTATTGTTTTATTTGTTTCATTTAAACACGTTATGTTGTCAGTTAAATTGTAAACTACATAGATATTTAACAAATCAACTATTTTAAACATAAAACATATATACGGAGTTAGAAGAGTGTACATATATTTCACAGAATTTTATGGATGCCCTGAAAATGTATGTGTTCAATATTTAACGATTGTTTAAAGATATTTCGACTGGTATTTTCGATATTGGGCAGTGTTGAACACACTAATTTATTTACTGTGTGTGTAATTAAACTCCTTCTCGCGAGGGGGCAATAGCTGAAAACTAGAAGCATACTGGGTAATGGAGGAACTAGTTAGTGTAGCTAACAAAAGCTAGCTGGCTAATCTCTGAGACGGCACTGTTGTGGTTGTGTTCCGTTATCTTGTTTTCTGTACACGTATTTTCATTTTGTAAAAACATTTGTCTCTTGGAGAACTCAATCGGGCTGTTGCTGAAAGAGCTGGGAAACGCTGTTTGGATTAAGTTGCTTTCTGTCAGGATGGTAGCATACTACCGACTCAGCTAGCTAGCCACACTGAAGCAACCAAACAACGACAGCCGTCCGGATGCTCTGAGGAACGACGCAGTGGATTTCGGGTACGTAGTCGGCCTTGGGTGATGGCAAGCAACCGGCCACAGCAGAGTGCCAGCGGGGCTAGTTCAATGCCCAGCACAAGCAGCAGCAGCAGCTCAGGGGGTGCTGGAAATACAAGTAGTGGCGTTGGCGGAGGTAGCAACAACGTCACTAGTAATGGGAGCAGTTCTGGAAATGTTGTGCCCAGTCGGACCCTTGCAGCGGCCGGCGAAGGGGGTTTGTCGTCAGTGCCAACTATGGCTGCCGTATCGTCGTCCCGGGGAGGGTTCCCTTCTCTAAGCAGACCTGCATCTTCCTCCAGTAGCAGAAAGAAGTCTCTCCACCAAGCACCTTTACACAATGGCCTCTTGAATTCCTACGAAGATAAAAGCAACGATTTCGTCTGGTTAGTTTTAAGGACAGTCACTTTGTGAGCATGAAAATGTATCCTAACGAAAAGTTCAATAGTCACTGCTCCTAACACGGTAGTGTCCCTGTCTTTTCAGTCCAATTTGCTTCGAAATGATAGAAGAGGCTTACATGACAAAGTGTGGGCACAGTTTCTGGTAAGTAGATTTGAACTGTTCCCCAGTGTTGATACAATGGTTCTTTATTGAGAACAAGGGTCATTCGTGTAAATATCTGACTGTCAAAATAACGGTAAACACAATGTGATGTGCTATTATATTCTTGGTGTTAGCAATCCTTAAATATGGGAGTCATATGAACCCTTGAAAAAAGAGAACACAGGCCTCAGCCCATGTCCTTCACTTTCAACAAACCAATGCACTGCCCTATCTTTCAGACTAAACATAAGTTTAAAATATACTGTAATCTTCTGAAATGACCCTTAGAATCAAACATTTCCAAGTTTCATTTCCCTTTGGAAGGAAAGTGGGATTTTGTTCTTGACACCACCTTGCTTTTTGAACTGTGTAATCCCACAGTTTATAGAGGATCAAATTTGAATTTACCTACAAAGTAAAACAGAAAAATGCTGTACTGTGAAATAAAACTGTCCAAGTTCTCTTTAAATTTAGCCTACAAAGTGAAGGAACTAAAAATCCAGAAATCGATTTCTTAAAACAAAGCTTAGTTGGAGGTAGGCCATGTTATGGTGTGAATGTTTTGACAGAATTGTACCTGCAATTTGTACTTTTTGTGTTTCTGTTTTCAGCTGTGTTTTCACTTGTCACACACACTAGTCTCAGGTTCTGTCAACTCAGATTATGAGTAAAATAACGTACAACGTCAATGTTAGATGACTTAATCTGTTGTTTACTGCCATGAGAACCAGTCACATTGTTCTTCTATTTCTGTCATATGTTTACACCCTTCACTTTCTTGCAGTTTCAAGTGCATCCGCCGGAGTCTTGAGGATAGCAACAGGTGTCCCAAGTGTAATTATATTGTGGATAATGTCGATCAGCTTTACCCAAATTTCCTTGGTAGGTGTCTTAACTACTGGATGTAGAAAAAACATACTCAATGCTGGTTTCTAGAAGAAATACGTTCTAATGATGCATTTTGTTTATGTAAATTGTTTTCATCATGCTTGAGCAAATACAGTTTTAAATGCTTCTAATTGTGTATAATTATGTCTTCCAGTCAATGAACTGATCTTAAAGCAGAAACAAAGGTCAGAAGAGAAAAGACTTAAATTAGATCATCCAGTAAGTATCAATGCACCCATCAAACTAATTCAATTATTTGACCTGGCTCATTACTGATTAATAACTTTGACTCCCAGAACGGTTCTAGGTGGCAGGTTTTTCAGGATGTGTTGAGTCCTGACCAGGAGAACTTGGACCTGGCCAATGTCAACCTTATGCTTGAACTCCTGGTTCAAAAGAAGAAGCAATTGGAGGTGGTAAGTACTGGGACTATTCTTCAAAATAGAGCATGGATCAGGTTATAGGCTGTTTTTTGTTGTTGTTTTTTTTCTAACCGCAGTTATTTTAATAACAATTTGCCTTTCTCTGTCTTTCTCGCTCTGTTTTTCTCATACTTTATTTTCATTTGTCTTCCCCATCTATCTTTTTCAAAGTCCAAAGTTAAATGGTAATGTAAAGTTACATTTAGCATCAGGGTTCACAAACCCTGAAATATCCCTGTTTAAACAAAAAAGTGCAGTTGTCTACGTCTACATATCTCACGTGGATGTCAAACTATTTGATTCTCAGTATTAAGTGTCTCTTCAATATTTGTATTTGGGAAAATATGCTAAAAATAAATATGGAGGTTTTCCTCTGGCGACAAAAAACTTCAAATACTCCCTTATTATCTCATTGATGGTGGTGCAAAGATATTCTTTGGCTTCACTTGTATTTTTCTACTTTGTCTCAATACTAGGAATCTCAAGCAGCTCAAAGACAGATCCTCATGGAGTTCCTGAAAGAAGCCAGGAGAAACAAGAGAGAGGTGTCAATGTTGTTTAAATTTATACCAAAGTTCAACATGAAAATCCTCTGTATAAAACATGGCCTTGTAAAACATGTGATTGACAAACTGCAGGAACTCAGTTGTGTGTTTCTGTGTTTTGACAGCAACTGGATCAGTTACAGAAAGAACTCAACTTTCTTGAAGAAGACATAAAGCGTGTTGAGGTAAAAAGAAAAAACTCCAAATTCCTGTGTCGTGGGAATTGTAATTACTAATGTTGTTCAGCTACTATGTATTTGGATTAACGGAGTAGCACGAAGTTACCAAGTTATCATGACATGAGTACTTTAACTCTATAAGACTTCAGACTTCATGTCCATTTAGACACCAATTTATATTCATTAGTTCTTTTAATAACAGGATAATGAGCAGCTGGATTTGATTGGATCAACAATTGAATTTAAACAACACATGCACTAACTGCCACTTCAGTCTTCTGGGACTGCTACTCCACTGTAAATTGAATTGGTCCTAATTGATTATGTCTTAATTAACTTAAAAGGACAGCTAACACAACTTGGCCTCAAACTTTATAATCTGCAGTTTAATCCTATTTCTCTGACTACAATTTTCAGTCTGTACATCCTGACAGCTTTAGTTTTAAACATTATTTTTTTCTCAAGGAAATGAGTGGGCTCTACTGCCCCATGATGGAGGCAGAGTGTACTGTTCCTAATGTGGAGGCTCCCTCACCAGCACCCAGGTACAGCTCCACTCTGTATATCTGTCTTTACAGGACTTGTACCCACATCCAGCTTCTACCTTTACTAAAATTGCAAATTAAATAAGCTTCTGCACTTTATCACATTCTGTTATGTAACGGCTACGGTGCCATCGTAAATCACCACATCAGTACACATGCCGACTCAATAAAAATACCTAAGCGTTGTTTATTTAATGTGCCTCATACTCTGTGTGTGTGTGTGTGTGTGTCTGTGTTGTTGGGCAGCTGTAGCAGTATTATTGAGCCAACAGATTATAGCCAGCCTCCAGGATTTGGTGGAACGTCACAGGTAAGACTCCCTTATTTGGATGTATTTCTTTTGTCATTTAATCACTGAGTTTTTCTCATATCTCAATGCAAAATTTCCTCCTCATGTCTCAGCTGTGCCTAATTTATTTTATTATTTCACATTGATTTTAGCAGCAAGAGCATGTACTTCCTACATAATGGAATACCTGCTTTATGACTGTGACACTCACTGTGAGTTTTTTTTTTCTTTTTAGGGTAAACGTCAGACTTGGTACAACAGCACTCTTGCTTCAAGGAGAAAGAGACTGACCGCTCATTTTGAAGATCTAGAACAGTGCTACTTCTCCAGCAAAATGTCCCACATCACTGGTAGGTATCCAAATCAACAGTTTGTGTACAACCACTTAAATGAATGCCCTGTTTCAGCAGTGTAGGATTTCAGACGGCAGCAAGGTTTCAGATGATGTAATATTCTGCTGATCCATAACAGCCCTCAGTTTTTTAAGAGTGTCTGATGTGGTTGTCTGACATTCTCAAGCTTTTGCAGAAGTTATCTCACCATGTCGTACACAAGCACCACAGTACAGGTTTGATTTGTTTTTCAGATGAGGGCAGGAACCTGAACCTGTTGGATGATTTCATGGAGTGTTTGTCCAAGTTCACTCGCTACAATTCCGTGCGACCGTTGGCCACCCTATCATATGCAAGTGACCTGTATAACGGCTCCAGTATTGTCTCCAGGTATGGAAGCAAAGTGTGATGTTGTGTAGCGGTCTCAATATGTCACAGTTTTTTAACTTATAATAACAATAAAGCTTAGTTTAGACATTGTTTACTCAGTAGATTGTACACATTATCAGACAGAGTTTTCTTCAGATATAGTTGAAAAACACACCGTCTTCCAAAAAATGTTGTTCTTCTTCTAGTATTGAATTTGACCGTGACTGTGACTACTTTGCCATTGCTGGTGTGACCAAGAAGATCAAAGTGTTTGAGTACAGCACAGTGATCCAAGATGCAGTGGATATACACTACCCCGTCAACGAGATGACCTGCAACTCCAAAATCAGGTTAGTGGTGGAAATGCACTGGAAAACACTTGTATGTAAACAAACGTAGACATAGAAACAAGATCAGTTGACAGACATCAAATGAAGCAGTAAGTACGTCTGACCTAATGAACTGATGGAACCATGGACTGTGTCTTATGCAGCTGTATCAGCTGGAGCAGTTATCACAAGAACCTTTTAGCCAGCAGTGACTATGAAGGGACCGTCATCCTGTGGGATGGATTCACTGGACAAAGGTCTAAAGTCTATCAGGTACGAGAACTTTTAAAGGTTCTAAATGGTTTGGTACGGAAACAGCAGCGCTAATAAACACGTACACTTCATTTTAGGAGCACGAAAAAAGATGTTGGAGCGTTGACTTCAACCTAATGGACCCCAAGCTCTTAGCCTCTGGTTCCGATGATGCTAAAGGTGACTTGGGATTGCTCCATCATTCCAGATTTTCAGTACTTGATTTTTGTAGCAGGTGTTCACGCTTGTCAATTTGTGTTCCAGTGAAGCTGTGGTCAACCAATCTTGATAACTCAGTGGCTAGCATAGAGGCAAAGGCAAATGTCTGCTGTGTTAAATTCAGTCCAACATCGAGATATCATCTGGCCTTTGGCTGTGCAGGTGAGATTACAGAACAGCATCAGGAAGCAGATTAGGGTTGCCCTGTTTTCTGGCCAAATGTAATTGCTGTAATTTATGATGAAAGCAGATTTATAGAAATTACAATTTCTTTAATGCATTAACCTGGGGGGTGACAATGGTCCTATGTACGAAAGGGGGTGCTGGAGAAAGGTTTTGGACCCACTGCTCTAGAGTCACAACCAAACATGTCTCTTTTTTTCATAGACCACTGTGTCCACTACTACGATTTACGCAACACTAAGCAGCCGATCATGGTGTTTAAAGGCCATAGGAAGGCAGTGTCCTACGCCAAGTTTGTCAACGGAGAGGAAATTGTTTCTGCGTAAGTTGTTGACATTTTTCTTCTTTGCAAATTAATAGCAATAATGAAAAAGTTTTAAAGAGACTTTTATAGATGAAATCAGCACTCCAACATTGTCCATCACTTTATATTTAGTTCAACAGACAGTCAGCTGAAGCTGTGGAACGTCAACAAAACCCACTGTTTGCGCTCCTTCAAGGGTCACATCAATGAGAAAAACTTTGTCGGCCTTGCTTCCAACGGCGACTACGTTGCTTGTGGTAAGACTTTATTTAATGTCAGATTCTCAATGATGTAAAAACAAATTACAGGACACCCTGACTTCCTTCGTTTCCCGGTCTGTGTTTGCATACAGGAAGTGAAAACAACTCCTTGTATCTCTACTACAAGGGACTTTCCAAAACGCTGTTAACCTTTAAGTTTGATACTGTGAAGAGTGTCCTGGACAAAGACAAGAAGGAAGACGACACCAACGAGTTTGTCAGTGCCGTGTGCTGGAGGGCACTGCCTGACGGAGTGAGTTTGCGTCATATTATTCTGCCAAATGGGCATCGAACCTGTTCTGTTATAAATTATTATATATTTATCAGCTGATTTTAACTAACAATAAGAATTCAAAATGAACTTCCTTGGAATAATCAGATATTGTTTTTGTTGCAGGAGTCAAATGTGCTGATTGCTGCAAACAGTCAAGGAACAATCAAGGTGTGTTTTTGTTTTTTCACTGATTGGTACAGTGAATGCAGTTATACCAAAATAGTACAATTTGATTTGATTGTACATCACGTCTTACACACTAAATCCCACAGGGTATAAACCATTTTTATGATGGATAGCAATGAGAATGTAGATATGTATGAGAAGACACATTAAATAGATGTGTTACTTACATTGTAGAGAAATGTAAAAATACAATTTCCTTAATAAACATCAAACCCCAATTTTGTAATGAAGACATATTTTACATAGAAACTGTAGTCACTGTGGGGTGATATCAAAATGTACTTAACAGGAAATCCTAACAAATCATTTTTATATGAGGTCTGATGGGGCTCATATAAATATATAAATGGAGCTCAACACCTGCAAGACTGGAAACACAAAGTACTCATAAAAAGTTTTGGATTTAGATTTTTTTATTTTTGAGATTGCATTTCTCTTTAGAAGAACCATCTACACTTGACTGTGACTGATACTATTACACGTGTGAAGGTTCATCTTGTCCAAGTAGTTAAGAAGTAGGGAACTGGTCTGGTTTAGGTTTCGGCTCCCATTCGTTTCAACTCTCATTCAAGAAGCCTTTCACTTCTAGGTGACGGGTTGTAAAACTGGTATTTAAGACCTGGATGGCCTTCCAAGATCTTTGTTCCATATTTTGTAATGGATTCCTTTCAAAGACCGCAGAAATATGAGTGGAATGGTGGAACACACAGGGCCCACAGGAACCACCTACGGTTTAACCTGAGATCCAGACAACAAAGTATAATTCCCACCAGCCTGAGCTGAACAAATCCTACAGATGACTTAAACCCATCTCCTTAATGAATGAGTGCCAGAAACACTTTACCATCCTTGTTTTCAAATTTACGACAGAGCAACTACATGGAGAAGCTCGCCTTACGTTTTCTCCCCACGTCCTTCTGTTTTGTGCAGAATGTGAAATCCATTAAGGCAAAATGTGTTTTGTGGATTTGGGTTTTATAAATAAAGTTTATTTCAACCAGAGACCAAACAAAAGCATAAATAACATTCAGAATATGACCTGAAAATATCACTGCTACTACTGAGTTTTCCTAGTGGGTGTCTTTCATTGGCCTAACGAGGTGCAAAAACATGCATATTTAAGGAGGAGAAGAGTACATCAAATATAGAGTATTTAAAGGAAAAAAAATAATGTTTTCTTCTGCCCTTCAGGTCCTTGAGCTCGTCTGAGAAGCCTCAGTCTCCGGTGGATGGCACAGTTACCTTCAGCCACTGTTTGACTGGTAGATGATCAGCCTGAAGCAGGAGAACTTGGCTGCCCGCTGACTTCAGATACCCATCAGACTGAGCAGCTCCTGTCAGTTTAATGTGCTTCAATTATTTGGACAGAAATGATGGACGATTACAACCGCATTCATTTTTACAGCAGTAAAACAAGAACCGAGCTTTGGGCACATACTGGAGCAGGAGAATGAAAGCATTTTGGGCAGCAACTTCAATCAAACACCTCTTAATGGTTTAGGTCAAACCAAAACTTGTACATTTTTTTTAAGGAGCTGTCACTCTTTTAGGGTAAAAACGCTACTAACCTGATGTATTTTTTTTCCCTTTTTAAAGGCCAAAGCACAAGACAATGTGACATGCAAAATTATGTTTTCACACGAAGCTTTTAACCCTTCTTTCCTACATCTCTCCGTGTGTAATTAACCCTCACCCCCCACTTCCCTTTGTGTATTTTTGTTTTGTTCCTTTAAGGAGAAACCTGTTTTAATAAATATAACTTGAATTTCATCCTGTCAAGTGTTCATTTTCTGACTGTATCACAGCAGGGTTTAAATGTCAAGGAAGACCAAACATTGGAGACACTGCTGATCTTTCTGTTGCTTTCGTCACAAATTGTGGTTTGATGTCCATCTGTAATTCTGATGATTTTCATGTATTTGATCTGCAGTGATGCATTGAACTGGAACTTGTTTCTTGTTTCACACACAGTATGTGAGCTTTTTTTTGTTGTTTAAAATAAAAACAAAGAAACTCACAGAATCATACTTTAAGTAGCAATTACATTGTTCTTCACATACTGTAGGCTAAAAAAACATCTAAGCTGCATTAAAACTGCTCTCAGTTTGTGAGGAGTGCTAATCCATTTAGATGTATCAAGGGGACATGGCCAAGACCTAGCTATTTTATGATAACTGAGTGAGAGGTGATTTGTATTTGTATAATTGAATAAATTATTTCAAAATGACGTCTTGTTTAGTTATATTTTAACTTGAAATGTGTGACACTTTAACCTTCCTCCTGAGTGTGCTTGTACAAGAGTTATGTTCTTGGTAATGGGCCTCATACGAGGTGCTTAAGCCTTGTAAATTTGTTCAATTTGCAGTCTCCCAGAACACGAATGCGTTCACTGAAACACCAGGGAGACAGAATGTTGTCTTTAAACTGGGGCTCTGAGTTTATCGTGTGAAAACTGCAGG